CCCCCTCTTGATCACACACACACACACACACACACACCTTACAAACAGTGGTGAAGTTGGGGCAGGATACCTGCAATACACACCCCCATTTAAGAACGGGGGGCTCTTAGCAGTCACTGGCCTGCAGCAATTCTGAAATCCCACTGGACAAATGTTGCTCTGTGGATGGGGAATGTTTCTTAATTAGGCCTGGGTTCTGTTTCCTGGGAGTGCCTCCCCACCGTCCCTTATTTTCTGTTGGTTTTGACTCTGCTCTGTGAGATTTCACCCTCCTCCTCAATCACTTCTGAAAAGGGCTTTGGAAGATCTGCCATTCTAACAACAGAGCAACTTTCTCAGGAGTTAAAAAAATATTTTTGAAAAGCCTCAATTTCTTTTAGTCCTAGATGGCGGTGCTTTTGCTAATTCAACTGTCTGAAACAATTTGTGAATTTCTATGCATTTGATTCCACAGTCTACTCTGTGTGTCAAAAGCCAGAAGTCATACCCACAATTCTTTTCTAGACAGGCTTTTCTCTCATTCTTGACTTAATTACTACTACTAAGCACATTTGACAGATAGGGGACCATGCCCTTAAGCTTCATAAATATCCTTTTATTCAGCTGAAAACGTATACTCCAGGCTCTCAATTTTCTCAGTCTCAGTCTCTTTTATACTATTAAAAATTGAGGACTCCACAAAGAGTTCACCTTAGAAAATTCTAGAAAGTACAAGAATACACAAGTACCCATTCCATTAAGTATCAGGGCAATGGTATTCACTTGTCATGTAACCTCTGGAAAACTCCACTGTGCCCATGAGAAAAATAAGAGTGAGAAAGACAATGTCTTAGTATTATTATGAAAATAATCTGATCTCACCAGACCCGAAAATGACCTTGGAAATTCCCAGGGATCACCAAACTACATTTTGAGAATCCTTGGTCTAGATACCTTTTTTCTTCTCAGAGGTTCAGGACTGTTTCTATAGCCACACCCTTTATTTTCCCACAAATAATATAAATCTACATATATTATTTCTTTATCTTTATATCACTGTAGTCTTTAAGAGCTCTATTTTATCTAAGAATGTGGAACTTGAGAATTTGATACATAAAATAATTCTTTATTAGAAATATTTTAGATAAGAAAAAGTGACTATCCACAGTACTAACTTGTCAGGCATTCTGTTAACTTCACCTGCAAAATAGTCTATCTAAACATCAATAAGATAAGAAACAAAACTTTGAAAATCTCTACAGAGTTGGAGAGACAAAAATTAAGAGCTCATGACTCACTAAGAGAGAACCTGATGGAACCCTAATGGTTTAGTTTAAACTCTGAAGGATTAGGGCACCCTGGGTGGCTCAGCCCGTTAAGTGTCTCTTGATTTGATTTTGGCTCAGGTCATGATCTCAGGGTTGTGGGATTGAGCCCCATGTCAGGGTCTGTGCTCAGCCCGGAGTGTGCTTGAGTTTTCTCCCTCTGCCCCTCCCCCCACTCTCTCTTTCAAATAAATAAATCTTAAAAAAATAAAACCAAAAAAAACCCTCTTAAGGATTAAACCACAAAAACAAGAATAAACTAGGGACTTAAACTCAACTTGGAATCAGCTCATCCCTAGCTGCCTGCCACAGTGAAAAGAAAATCTCTGGAAGAAGACAGCAGCATTCAAAGACTCAAGAGTATTTCTACAATTTTTCTTAACAATGTCAGTCCCTCAGTAAAGAAATACTCAAGAAGACGAGAAGGCACTGACCAAAACCTGAGAGAAATAATGTAAAATGGAAACAAATCCATAGGATATTCTGGTATTAGTTATCAGACACAGACTTTAGAATAACTAAAATGAATACACTTAAGGAATTAAATTATAAGATTTCAACAGAGAATTAGAAACTATTAAAAAAAAAAACCAAGTAGAAACTCTAAGCTGAAAATTGAAACAGGTGATATTAAATACTTACCAATTAGGTAAACAGTGCATTAGACATAGCTGAAGAGAAAAATAGTTTCTGCTAAAATTTTTATTGGGATTATACTGAATCTGTAAATCAATATGGGAAGAACTGACATTTGCCTTCCAACCAATGAACATATCATCTCTTCATTTATTTAGGTTTACTTTCTCCCAGGAATGTTTTGTAGAATTCAGTGTATAAGTCTTCGATAACTTCTATCAAATTTATACCTAAGTATGTAATATTTTTGATGCTAGTATAAATAGTATTGATTTTTCAATTTTTTGTTAGTATATAGAAATGCAACTGATTTTGTGTGTGTGCGTGTGTGCAAAAAGTGGTTTTATTAAAGCACGGGGACAGGACCCTTGGGCAGAAAGAGCTGCACTGGGGTTGTGAAGAGTGACTGATTATATACCTTGGGGTTGGGGGGCAACTGATTTTTGTATATTGACCATGTATACAGTAACCTTGTTACTCACATATTAACTTTAGAATGTTCATATATTCCATAGGTTTTCTGGAGAGTCCAATATGTCATGTGTGGGGAGATTTTTACCTCTTCCTTTATAATGTGAATGGTTTTTCTTTTTCTTGCCTAATTGTCTTGGCTAGAAATTCCAATACAATGTTTTATAGAAAATAGTGGACATCCTTGCTTTGTCTCTGATCTTAGGGGAAAAACATTTAGTCTTTCACCATTAAGTATGAGGTTAGCTGCAGGTTTTTCTTAAGATGCCCTTTATCAAGATGAGGAAGTTCTCTTTTATTTTTACTTTACTGAGAGTTTTTATCAGAAATTAATGTTGTGGGGCGCCTAGGTGGCTCAGTCGTTAAGCGTCTGCCTTTGGCTCAGGTCATGGTCCCGGGATCCTGGGATCGAGCCCCACATTGGGCTCCCTGCTCAGCGGGAAGCCTGCTTCTCCCTCTCCCACTCCCCCTGCTTGTGTTCCCTCTCTCGCCGTGTCTCTGTCAAATAAATAAATAAAACCTAAAAAAAAAAAAAGTTGGGTTTTGTCAAATACCCTTTTTGCATTTATTGAGACAATAATATGGTTTTCCTATGTTAGTCAATAAAGTGAATTATTTAAGAGTGAATTTTCTAATGTTAGCCCAAATTTGCATTAACATAAACCTCACTAGTTCATATATTATCCTTTTTACACATCGTTAAATTCAAATTGTTAAACTTCGTTTAGAACTTTCGCATCTGTGTTTGTGATAAATATTGGCTTGTCGTTTTCTTGTGATTTTGGTATCAGAGTAATGCTGGCCTCAAAGAAGGAGTTGGGAATTATCCCCTCTTCTATTTCATGGGTGTATTTGTTGAGAATTGAGTATTTTCCTCCACAAATATTTGAAAGAATTCACCAGTATAGTTAGGTTTGGCATATTCTGTCAGAAATATACGTAGGGGCACCTGGGTGGCTCAGTCAGTTAAGAGTCTGATTTTTTATTACAGGTCAGGTCGTGATCTCAGGGTGCTGAGATTGAGCCCTGCGTGAGGCTCTGTGCTCAGCGTGGAGTTGACTTAAGATTCTCTCTCCCCCTCAGCCTCTTTCCCCACTCGCATGTGCTCTCTCAAATTAAAAAAAAAGAAGTATCTGTAGAACCTGTAGTCACATTGTTTCTCTCATTCCTAATATTGATAATTTCTGTCTTCTTTCTCATCAGTCTGACTAAAGATTTCTCAACTGTGTTGATCTCAAAGAGTTAGCTTTCAGTTTCACTGACTTTCTCAATGGATTTTATTTTCTATTGCATTGATTTCTTCCCTAATCCTTTTTCCTTTCATTTGAGTTTCACTTGCTATTATTTTTCTAGCTTAAGCTTGTGAAAGCTTCAGTCCTTGATTTGAATTCTTTTCTTTTCTAATATAGACATCTAATGATATAAATTTCCCTGTAAAGTACTGCTTTATCCGATTCCCACAAATTTTGTTTTCATTTGCATTAAGTTCAATATACTTTTTATTTCTTCTTTTCATATTTAAACCACTTGTATTTATATTTAAATAGGTTTCATGGATTCAATATATAGCTGGATTTAAAAAAACTCGATCTAATCAGGGTAACTGACAATTAACAGTTAATGTAATTATTGACATTGCTGTTTAAATCTACCATCTTATTTTTTTTTTCTATTTGTCCCATTTATTCTTAGTCTCCCTTTCTTCTTTTTCTTCCTTCTTTGCATTATTTTTTGTGACTACATTTTATCATCTTTGTTGGTTTATTAGTTACGACTTTTTATTGTTGCTTTAGGGCTTACAGTAAACATTCTTAACTTATCACAGTCTACTTTCAAGTAATACTACACTATCTCACAGTGTTAGAACCTTAGAGTAGTATACGTTTCCCTCCTCCCACCCTTGCAACTGTTGTCAGATATTTCACTTTACTTATATTAACCACACAACACCTTGTCATTATTTTTGCTTTAAATCATTAATTATCCTTTAAGGATAATTTAAAATGAAAAAAAAAAAAAGCCTTACATTTGTTCACATATTTACCATTTTTGGTGTCCTGGTTAGTTTGCACAGAAACATATTTCTATCCGGTACCATATTCCTTCTGACTAAAGGCATTCTTTAACATTTCCTGTAGAGCAAGTCTGCTTGTGATGAATTCTTCCAGCCTTCCAAGGTCTGAAAAAGTTTTATTTTTCATTTTTGAAAGACATCTTTGCTGGATATAGAATTCAAAGTTGAGTATTTTTCTTTCAGTACTTTAAAGATGTTACTCCACTGTCTCTGCACTCTTGTCTTTGTTCTCCTGTGTCTTTTAAATTTAGCTGCTTTAAGAATTTTCCTTTGACCCAAGTTTTAAGGAATTTGATTATGATGTGTTTTGGTATAGTTTTATTTCTTGTACTTAGAGGTTCATTGGGTTTCTTGGGTCTTATTTGTTTCCCTCTCTCAGGGAACACTGTCCTGTGCTGCCTAATATCTTATATTTGAAAACTGTCTCATATTTTGCGTTTTTAGAATTTCAAATAGGTAAATCCAATCTCTATTATTCCATTTTGGCCAGAGGCAAAAGTTCAATTTCAGGCATCTCATTTTTACCATATAAAAATTTTACTTTTTGTACTTCGTAACTTTTAAATTCCGTGACAAAATGTTTCATCTATACGCATAAAGTTACTAAAATTGTTTTATTTATCCCACCTCTTTTAATACACATTATGTGCATTTATAGAAAAAGGCAACAGGAAAATATTAATGGACTTAAATACAGCATGCAGGCAAAACACACTTTATGCTTTCTAAACATGTTTGATAATGATATATAAGGAAACTTGTTACAAATCATAATGCTTCCAATAATCTGTCAGGAAGAAAAGATCACATTAGCACCCATGTATACTTTAACACAAACATTCTCTGAGCCACAATGGGAAAAAGAAAGATTTCTGTTTTTATTTCCTGAAGTAATTATTAGTAGGTTTACACTTATTAAATATATCCTTAAAATTTCCACCACTTTGGAAAACCATAAAGTTAGTAAGCTAGCTAGATTTCCTTTTTACTTTAGTAAATATTTTTATCTCAGAAGTCAAAATTGGGTAGTAGTGCTGGATACAAGGTACATAGTTTAAATCTTTGGGACAAGAGACTACAAGAAGGTAAATAAGCCAGTAGCCCTCCTAATCTTATATCACTAAGACTGTATATCATAGCAGGTAGATGTATACCTCCACCCATACCAGAGAGGTATGAATTCTTTTGACAATTAACCTTTCTAAATTTTATGGTAAGGTCAATAAAGACATTACACACAGCACACAAAGAAATAGAGAAAGTTAATGATATAAACCACAGAAAAAAATAATCCATACTTCTCATTTGGAAGGGAAAAAATGGGACTAATACTGAATACTTAGCATCTAATATAAAATTTTCACTCATTGTAAGTTGAATCATATTGATTAAAACTTTACAGAATAACTTTGCATGTTATTAATTCATGAGACAATCAGCAGATATGCAGCTCTAGTCAAGTCTTATAAACCCCTAAACGTCTTCATAGGTAAAGTGAAATTAGCTGAAAAATAGCAAACAGGAGTAGAGATTTGTGAGAAGTACAAAACACATAAATGCAATAGATATATGATGTAATCTGTGCAATTCAAAATTCCCCAAATTTTCTTATGAAATGTACAAGTAATAAATAATAGTCATACTTGACTTTATCAAGTTAACAAAATAATTACTAACCAACCTTGTGTTTTACTAGTCAATTGCTTAGAAACACCAACTGCCATTTAAAAATTACTTTCATCATAAAAATAGAAGGCATATCAAACTCTTTAATCCTCAAATATCCAAAAAAATTTGGAAGGCAACTGTCAATCAAAAATATTATCTGTTAAAAAAAGGTGATTAAAAAACATACATAACCTATTTTTTTGCACAATTTTGTTTTCTTATGAAAAAGGGCACTTAGTGTATAGCTAAAGCTTTCAGAAATTATAGATCCTGTTGACTTTCCTATTAGGCAGATGACATGTTGTACAGTTTTTAATATAAAAATATAAATATCTTTGACAGAGAAGGTGAAATAGTGGTTGGTATAAAATCCCATCACCATTTTACTTGAAAAAAACTTTTTTCCTAGAGACCATGAAAACAATACTGATTCCATGCAGTTCTGTGTTGCCAGAAGCTTCCCAAATTATAAAACACTAAGGTATTCACTGAAATTTCAAAAGTGGGCCCGTAGTCTTTTGTTTTCTTCTCGTAGTCTTTCAATTTCAGCCACTAAACCTTCATTCACTGAGTATCTTTCCAGTAAAGAGTGCATTTCATTCTAGAAAAGAGAAAAAATTGCTTTTTAAAGCACTGATACTTCACATTTATTTGGAAAGCTGTTTTACATAGTTTCAGCTATCATTTCTGACATGTTCAATTACCTAGCTGAATGGTACCTTACTACTTTGTTAATATAAATGAAAGATCACTGGTGAAAGTTACGTATTTGGAAGGTTTATATTTGCACATGTGGGAAGCTTTTAGCTTACTTATGGAAATAAATAAATAAATAAATAAATAAAAAGCTGTGAAAAAGTAGCCTTAACTATTATAGGTTAAAAGGAAGGGTGACTAGTTAAAATCTATTTTACTTTTAAATTTCTAAAACTCCCTGTTTGTTTATTCTAGCAACTAGATATAATAAAGTAAAAATATATCACCCTTTAATGGACTTTTTAGATCCACAACTCTATACTCATTTAAAATAAAAGGTCATACCTACCAATTGCATGTGAAACTGTTTAATCATCTCCACTTGCAAATTCACAATGTCTCTATGGCACGCTTCTCTAGGGAAGAATGTAAAATACCTATTAGAATTATAATGGTTTTGCCAATTCTAGATCATTCAAGAAACTGCTAAACTTTTCTCGTTGTTTCAAATTATTGGATGTTAGTAATAATAATAGTAGTAATAATAATAATAAAAATGCCAAGGCACCTAGAATTTATTTACTACGTACTAGGCACTGTTTGTTGTACTTTGAATGGAAGAACTCATTTAATCTTTACATCACATGCAATTATTACCTCCATTTTACCAGTGAAGGAACTAAGCCACAGAGCAGTTAAAACTTATCCAATCAAACAACCAGTAAATGGTGGAGCTAGTATATAAACCCCGGCTGTATACATCCAGAACTCTCATACTACACATCCCTTAATATAGAAATTATCATTAAGGAAAGACACAGGTTTATATTACAATGAAATACAGATCATTTACTAGGTTACAATGTTTTAACTATTATCAATGTTTTAGCTATTAAAAAAAAATACTTCTAGTAGAATGGAAAGGGTTATTTGGATGGTTATAATAAAGGTTACCTATAAAGTACAATTCAGTCATACCAGAAAAGAATACATGAAAATTATGAGGTATAATAATAAAAGGATCATTCAGTCACCCACCATACAACTTATGAGCTAGAACATTACCAAAATCATAGAAGTTTCCTATGTGCTCCTCTCTGATTCCATTACTTAACTTAGGAGAAGCCCAAGAAAGAAGTCACTACTCTGATGAATTTTGTTTAAGCAATGAAAAAAAAAAAAAAAAAAAAAATGTCTAACAAAGATGCTGTAGTCAATATATTTTTGCTGTGCCTGGTTTTGAGCATTATAAAAATACCACATCCTATGTAGTACTAAGTAGTGTACACTTAAAAAAATAACCCAATATCATGTTTTCAACATTCATATTCTATACATCTGTAATTCACTGATTTGTATCAGTGTACAGATTCTCCTATCAATTGACATTCAGATTGCTTTCAAGCTTTTACTATTACAATGTTATTATAAACAATCATGTATGTATTTCCCAACTCATATGCACCCATAACTGCACCCATAGATCCAAGAGTAGATATGCTGAGTTAAAGGCCAGATGTATACTTGTTTAGTTTTACAAAATAATGCAAATTATTTGTTGAAGAGGTAGTATCAGTGGACATGCTTGTTATCAGTGTAACAGAATTCCTCTTGTTCTGTATCTACACCAAGACTTGGTCTTGACAGACTTTTCACATTTTCCCATCTAATGGGTGTGAAACAGTATCCCGTTGCATTTTCAGTTCCCTGATCAACCATAGGATGGAACACCTTTCCTTATGTTCATAGACCATTCCTCTTCTGTGAAATGCTTGTCCATGCCTTTTAAGCTTGTTTTTCTGTTGAATGTCTTTTTTTTAAAAGACTGTTTATTTGAGAGAGAGAGCACAAGCAAGGGAAGGGGCAGGGGGACAAGCAGACTCCCCACTGAGCAGGGAGCCCGAAGCAGGGGCTCAATCCCAGGACCCTGGGATCATGACCTGAGCTGAAGGTAGATGCTTAACTGATTGAGCCACCCAGGCACCCCTCAAATGTCTTTTATTCTTATTTATTTTTAAGAGTTCTTTACATCATCCAAACCTTTGTTGGATCCTTTGTTGAAGTACCATAGATAGATTTTTGTCCTTTCACTTTGTTAATGGTGCCTTATGATGAGCAGTCCTTGTCAATGTTCTCTAATTACTGACCTAATAACACAATCAAATTTGCCAATCTATGTTTTTATAGGTAGTGTATCCTCTTATGTTTTGATAACTTCCCTACCCTGAAATCATATATAAATTCCCTTACAATGCTTAAAATTTTACCCTTTAAACTTTCATGCTGGGTAGAACTGATTTTTTTAATAGCAGGGAATAGGGATCTATACTTTTCCTCTGTCATATATCACATTTCTATATATGCCCAGGTTCTTCTCTGGTCTATTTGATTCGTTTCGGCAATCTGTCCATCCTGTGCTAATGCTACACTATTTTAATTATAGCTTAATAATTAAGCTTACCCATCTGACAAACAAGTCACCTTCAATCTTGTTCTTCTCTAGAGTATCTTGGTTATTCCTGGATCTTTTCTTCTTTCACATAAATTTGAAGTTATCCTATCATCATCTTCCAAAAAACACAGTTGGGATTTGACTGAAATTGCATTCAATCTATAGATCAATTTAGAAGAACTAACATCTTCATATCTTTCCATTTATTTAAGTGTTAATGCTTTCTAATAAATTTTTAAGTGTTTTTCTACAAAGATCTTTACCATTTTTGGGGGCGCCTGGGTGGCTCAGTCAGTTAAGATCTTTACCATTTTTGGTCAGATTTATTCCTAAGTACTTTTTCTGTTACAACTGTAAGGGTTTTTAAAAAATTCTCTTCTTTCGTCTGCATGGAGCACTGGGTGTTATGCACAAACAATGAATCATGGAACACTTCATCTAAAACTAATGATGTAATGTATGGGGATTAACATAAGAAT